TAGTGCTAAGAGTTGCTCCTGATGACGAAATTCTAAGAAAACATTTTCTTAGAATTCCCCCTTAAAGTTAAGACTAGGTCCTGGTAAAGATAAATGTTATTCACAAAGCATCTTAGACCTTAAGAGAGCTCCTGAAGGAAGACTTTTAAGAGGCTTAAGAGTTTCCTAAGCAGAGCAGAAAATGGTACAAACACAAAGAAGTCGCAGAAACAGTCTCTGAACACAAAATGACAGTGAGTAAATGAAATGCTACAGGTGAGATTGTGCAGGGATATGTGTGGTCGATCTCATTTGGGATATACACACATTTCCCACCTAAAAAAATAATGCTATAATGCCAGAAATAAAATCATCACAATACTAAGATATTTGAAAAACTGGAAAAATGTAAGAGTGCAGCAGTAATGACTTTTGTCTGTCTCAACCTTCCATCAGCAGAGTGATCACATTAACAATGACAACACTTTCAGTCTCATATTGTGATGCAGTTCATTTCATTACCACTGGGTGTCCACACCTTGCAGGCCCACAAAAGGGTGTGTCTGTGACAGCCAATCACATCTGTTACAAGAAAGCATCACACCTAGCAACAGGTGTTGCATGGTATACTGGTACCAACGGTAGACCACGGTACTTAAACACCACGGTACATATGATACCATAATGTTGGAGTACCGAAGTACCATGGTACCTCACGGCACCACTACTGTGGGATAAGTTCAAAGTCCAATCGCAAGCGGGTGAGTGTCAATGCGCCGTCCAATAACGGCTCACGCGTTGGCCACTTGGCAATCGATATGCTGCTGCAGTGGTTTGTTTTCCAGTGACATTTCAGGTATTAGCTGAGCTATTGAGTATCTTTAAGCAGTGGAAGTTAATATTTATTTCTTTTTACTTGTAGGCTAGATTTGTTTATATATGCTACAGTGATTTGTTTTCCACAGAGCTCTACAGTGCGAGCATTTTACTCGCATTTGCAACTAAAAATAGTTTTGTGCGAGCAAAAGAAATCATTCAGGAGCACGCTGAATGATTTCTTTCGCTCTCACAAAAGAAATCATTCAGGAGCACGCTGTGCGAGTACAGATTTCAACCAGCAGCAGAAACGAAAGGCAAATCCTGTCGGTTGTGGGTTGAACGGGGGTCACAGACAGGAATATGGCGGAGCGCTATGGCCACCGCAAGATAACGGCTTACCGGCGACCGAGAAGCCCGGCTCCAGGTCCAATAATTTCCTATTCGTTGGTGTCATGACTGCTCAAAAGTACCTGAACAGCCAAGCTGTGGCAGCACACAGGTATGTGACGTGTCAGAGGAGAAACGAGCCATTCACATTTCTCTCTTTGTGGCAGGTAACGGCCCACGAACCTCACCACAATAAAGGGACTGTTCTTAACTTATCAGAGGAGGAGGGTGGCTGGTTGATATTTATTTATTTTATTTATTTATTTTATTTTGATCCCCCCTATGTATGAATAAGTCAATAAGTAATTTATTCCATTGAAATATCATTGATGTCTTAGGCCTATAGAAAAGTGATTTATCTTTTTTATAAATGACAAAAGGCATCTGCCTCATTTTTGCTGTGGTATTGTGATACTACTCAGAACTGTGATACTTTCACTGGTATCGTACCATGGGTCCCAATATTGGTTCCGTGACAACACTACTAGCAACAGGGTCAACCACACCTCCTCACTAAGGTAAAAGTTTCTGTCCCTTCCTTGCTCATATTTGCTCTGAGAGTTTTTTTAAATCACTCTTAAGCTAAGACTCCGTACTAAAAGTTTTTAGTCTAAGTTAGGAACTCTCTTAGAGTACTCTCAGAATGTTTGTGAATATGGCCCTAGATCTTTATCTTTATCCTATGTAGTAGGACATGGGACACACAATAGTGAAAGTAAGCAACCAAATAAAAAAAGATGTAGCTATTCATTATTCAAAGTTAGCAAACTTTGGAATAGTAACCATGATAAACAGATAGAGAATGTGGGGGGTTGGGCCATCTTCTGTGTGGTGGATTTCAAGCAATCCCAGCATTGGCCTCATCCTGTGTGAAATGTTCAACACTGCTCAGGTATGTATAATCTGATATTTCAAACCTTCAATCTCTCTAATGATCTTTATTTGCTTTACAGAGATGACGAGCAACAAGATGCAGAAGAGCCAAACACCTCTAGGAGAGATCATGGACATGGGCAGCCTAAAGAACGATCTCATTCACCACACAACAGGGCCCAGGGAGCCAGGTCCAGGCAAGCACAGGGTTCACCAAGAGACCAGAAAAAATCCAGATCCAGATCTCCGCTGGAGGCACGCCCACAGCCAAAATACTCAGCTGCCTCCTGGAAATCTGAGACAGAACCTGATGTACATCCAGAGCCAATGAAGTTTGCCCCAGCAAGACCTCCTGGTCATCAACTGAACTCAAACACTATATACACTCCACTGGACCTTTTCAAACTGTTTTTCAGCAATAGTGCAGTTCAGACCATTTGTCAAAACACAAATAAACAAGCTGCTAAAAACATTACAAAAGGCAAAAAATATTCTTGGACTGACATCAACAACAAGGAGTTTTTCAAGTATGTGGGACTGAATTTCTTCTTATCTTTGGTGAAAATGGATACTATCCAGGATTACTGGAAAAAGAATACTATTTTCAGTGTGCCATTTCCAGCCAAAGTGATGCCACGGGACAGGTTCAGGGCGATATCTTGGAACATCCACATGAGCGATCCTGAGAAAGATGCTGAGAACGACAGAAAGAAGGGAACACCAGAATATGACCGGCTGTTTCGACTGAAGCCCCTTATGGACACCTTCAAAGACGCTTGCAGAGCATTTTACCATCCTAGGCAGAACCTTTCAATTGACACGAGAATGGTGGCAACAAAGGGCCGAAATGTAATGCCAAGAAATACCAAAGCCAAGCAGAAATTCAAATGCTTTGTTTTGGCAGACAGCAGCAATGGCTACACCTTGGACTTTTCTGTGTACACAGGAAAGTCACAGTTTGCCCCAGGTGTTGGACTTGCATATGACTCTGTCATGTCCCTGATAAAGTCAACATACCTGGGCAGCGGCTTTCATCTGTTTGTGGATGATTTCTACACCAGTCCAAAACTCTTCAATGATCTGTTTAGCCTGAATATCGGAGCATGTGGCACATACAGAGACAATAGAAGAGGATGTCCCCGCACAGACTCAAATGCTCTGAAGAAAAATGATCCTACAGGCACCATCAGGTGGATCCGTGACGGTCCACTGGTTTTTGTGAAGTGGATGGACACTCGTGAGGTGTCTGTCTGCTCTACAGTCCACGAGGCATTCTCACAAAGCACTGTGCACAGGAGAATGAAAACTAAGAATGGCAACTGGACCACCAAATCCATCCCATGCCCAACACCAGTTATGGAATATAACAAGCATGTGGGAGGGGTTGATTTGTCTGACCAGCTGATCCAGTCCTACTCCGTACATCACAAGAGCGCGCGCTGGTACCGGACATTGTTCTTCCACTTCCTTGACATTGCAGCCACAAACAGCTTCCTGCTGCACAAAGAGCTCTGCGGAGAGAAGCAGGAGGAACCTATGACCTACAAGGCCTTCCTGCTGGAGCTGACAGCCCAGATGTGTGGCGTCACAGCCGTGGTCCCTCCTGCGCNGTAAAGGAGGTTGTTCGGTTAGTGTGGGGAGCAGTGAGACCTGGCATTAGGGGAGTGTCTCTGGGACGCCAGAGATCACTGTCTAGCCTCCTGGAGGTGTCGTGGGACTAACTAGACGAAACACCGGTGAAAGGAGGTTCCCACCCGATGACCCCAAAGACATGTTAGTTATCACTGCTCACGGGTCTGTATAGTTAAGCCTTGCCATAATAGCTTATCGTAGGGCTTAGGAGGATTATTCACTGAGTGCTGATCCCTTTTTTTTTTTTATTAGAGCACAAACTTCTTGTGTTTATTTGAATACACCACCACCACTCCAAGCGTCTGGACTCCATCAGGGGGCTATTCCTGCACTAGCCCTAGCATCCGTAGCCCCCTAAAATGACGATGCCAGAATGGGGTCTAATCACCAAAGACTTCACATTTATAAACTTTATTATGCACCATGTCAAAAAATGTAAATTCAAAGAACTTGCATGGACTGACTTTCAAAACTTCAACAAGTATCCCTAGATCCCAAACACTTACTAAGTGATGTTGAAAGAAAAAGAAGATGTAACAGAGTGGGAAACATGCTCATGTCCCAACTTTGTTTGGAACATGTGGCAGGCGTCAAATTTAGAATTAGTTTATTTTTTTATAATAACAAAACACAGAGTTGATCAGATTGAACATTAAATATCTTGTCTTTGGACTGTACCCCTTTGAATATAAAAAAGAAAAAGATTTGCAAATCATTGCATTCTGTTTGTATTTATGTTTTACACAGTGTGCCAACTTATTTGGAATTGGGGTTGTACATAGAACTGTGTTAAAATGAGTACCTCACTGTACCAAAGGAAATGCAAAGCAGCAAATCAACCTTGTGGGAGTTTTTACATTTCAAATTAAAATAAATCATCAAATCAATAAATCCTGTTCCACACAATGCAGTTAATTAATTTAGTACAGGTCAACATGGCCTATGCTTCCAAGCCCTACATAACCAACTGCATTATCAGTTGATAAAACTCAATATGCACACATCCACACGCTACAAAGACTAAGTCTGTATAGCAGGTAAAAAAAACTCTGCTCTGCTCCGCCTAAATACGTCCATGCCGCATGTACTACATGTAATAATAACTCCATTATCTTCACACATTTACAATTACACACCTCAGAAGGGTTTATATATTATTATTATTATTATTATTAATTACTTTAAATAAATTTCAAGTGTTCTGATGAAGTTGTCAAAGAAAGACATTAAACATGGTATTTGAAATAAGCTTTTATTTTGAATTTTGGCCACACTGACAGAGCAATCTGAGACACCATGAAACCCCCATATCAAAATCGATGTATGCTGATGTGAAACTTTGCGCAAGATTTTGCTAATGTCTGAGTTTGCTCTTGATCCAGGGAAGATATTTTGAGATATCCGTGTAGACGTTGGGTACATCTGGGTAGCTGCAGGTGTTGTTGTTGTTGAAAGACACGACACCGACAGCCATCCCGTTGCACACCAGAGGACCACCAGAATCACCCTGTGAAGAGGAAGAAGCTTAGTGTGTTTATCATTATTCGATTGAAGGTGTTTGGAGCATTTCTATACCAGCTGACATTTTCAATAAACAGACAGAAAACATACCTGACAGAATCCTTTGTCTGAGGGATATCCACCTGCACAGATGACATCGGCAGGAAGACCACGCCATTTCTCCTTACAGTCTGGCCGGCTAATGACAGACACATCCACCACTCTCAGATCATCAGAAACTACACCACCACTAGTTGTGTAACCCCATCCAGCTACACGGCACATTGTGTTTTCTTGTGTGTTTATTTCAGATCTGGGAATTGGAATTGTTTGCACTCTGTTGTTCAGTTTAGCCATCCCAGCCAGCTGCAGACACACACAGTCAGAGAGGAGAAATTAAAAACTTGCAGTCTAATGTCCTAACATATTTTCTTTTATTTATCAGACTTTAATTTAATAAACAATTGCTGGAATGTGGTACTGATGATAAAAATGACTAAGAAAATGTCCTACTGTAAAAGAGGTAGAAGTACTTACTCTGAGAAGCATGATGTCCTTACCAAAGCCTTCTCTCACAAAATCTGGGTGTATGTATCTATGTGCAATGTTCATTCTTGATCCAACCTTATTGAGATGGTGGGTGCCAAGAACAACATGTTTAACTCCCCTGAATGAGAGATCATTGAGCGATTGTCAGTATATTTTCTAAGATTGTAACAACAACAACTTAAAACATTAAGTATTTTTTACTTAAAAAGTCGGTTAATATATCTTGAAATATTTTTAAATTGATTTCTAATTACACGAATCAAAGCTTGCTGAAAGGGGAATTGTAACTCACAGGCTGCCACAGTGTGCAGCGGTGACCACAGTGTCTTCCCGGATGAGGAATCCTCCACATACATGTTCTTCTCTACTGTTCTGCAGAGAGACCATATACAGCATTGAGTTCTCCGGGGCTTTCTGCCCGTTTACGATTTCACTCCCACGTGCTGCAAAGATAAGTCAAAATTAACTTGATGTCACATTTAATGGTTCAAGAAAAATAACCAGTTTTGGACATCTTACCATTTCCTCCGAGACATGTCAGAGCATGAACAAGTAGAAATTTGTACAGAGCGTGCATGATGCCAGCAAGGCACTTGGCTTGTCCTCTTGTGGGGTGTCAAGTTGACTCTTTTATACCGTTTGCTTTGTTTTCAAGTGAGATAATCATCTTTATTATCTTGACTTCCAACCACATCTGTTGTGCAACGTATGTTTGCAAGTTTGCAATTTGTTTTTTATCTTTGCATGATCTTGTTAGTTTAATTTATCTGATGCCTCAACAGCCTGAAGCACAAATATGATATCATCAGTATGTGATGAAACTAACACAGTCTGGCACATTAATTCATTCTTCTACTTCTTTTATATCATTCATCATTTAATTTTATATTTTGGATACTTTCAGCCTCTTGATTTAGTTAATTCTGCTTTCAGACCTCCTTTCCCCATTGTAAATGATAATAATGATAATAAGGTATTTGACACTATTAGTCATAGTTTACTAATAAGAAAACTTAAAAGACATGGTATTAGAGGGGTAGCATACTCATAGATCAATAACTGTCTTGAAAATAGAGATCAATATGTCAAATAAGCAATGACATTCAAAGTTCAGTGTTCAATTCAAGTTCAAGTTCAGTTCATCAAGGTTCAGTGCTGGGCCCCAAAGTTGTTTATATTGTCAACCCGTACTCACTCCAGAGTCATTGAAATCTGGCACTTGGGTGGTGACTTTGTCAAACAGACAAAAAATGCCATCCTTAATGTCAGCATGATATGCAGCTGGTTGCGTTATAGTTTTACAGCGCTAGGCAAAGTCAGGGGGAAACGCAAGACAAAAACAAAAGTTAAGGCGGCAAAAGTTCGAGTAGGGCGGGTGGAAGTGGTGGTGAATGGGCCGAACAAACACTGACCTTCATCTGGAAGAGTGGTGTTTGCGTTGTGTAAGATTATTACGCCAAACCCTGTTCTTTTTTTTCCTAAACCCAACCACATGCATTAGTTATTGAAGGAAAAAAAACATCAATTTGAGTAGTAGTACTGACGGAGTGCATTTACGCTTGGTATATGCAGGTATACGGGGTATAGCTACCTCTTTTTTGCCCTTTTATTGTATTCACCTATCAGCCAAGACGCCACTGGAATATATAGGAGAGTATGCCTACTTCTTTCTTGGTAACTTACCCACCTACCTAGTAGTACACCCACCTTATTAACTATCACTACACCACTGCTGAAAACCATATTTAAAATCATGTAAAATATATAATATATATATATCATTTCTTTAGTTTAACAGAACATTTATGTCTGGCTGCTTATGTCAGCTTGAAAGACTCCACAAAAAAAACCAACGGACTCACAGGTAATCTCCAAGCATACACTGACCACCTTCAACTGTAAAAAACTGCCCTCAACACTGCCCACTCTGCTTACTTTTCAAACCTCATCCACACTGGCTCCAATAACCAAAAGGCTCTTTTTGTCCACCATCAACAAACTCCTCAATCCCAGCGACAACATTTCAAACTCATTCACCACTGAAAAGTGCAATTCTTTCCTCTCTTTCTTCCAATCCAAAATTGATACCATCTACAATTCCCTATCCTCCTCCCCCATCACCCATTCCTCCTCCCTCCCCCCTGCTCCTCTTATCACCTCTCCACTCTCTAGATTTTCACCCATCTCCCCGGCTGATTTGTCCAAAATCATCCCAACCATGAAATCCTTCACCTGCATCCTAGATCCCATCCCATCCTCCTTTGTTAAACACTGCTTCCCCACCATCTCCCCAATTATCTCAGGGATTATCAACTCCTCCCTCAAATTTTCCACTGTTCCTCCATCACTGAAACTGGCTGCTGTAACCCCCATCATCAAGCAACCTGGACTCAACCCTGACAGCATCAATTATTTCCAGCACATTTCCAGCCTCCCATCCTCGTCTAAAATCCTGGAGCGTGTTGTCGCCTCACAAATCAAAGCCCATCTCACCAATAATGACCTCTACGAACAATTTCAATTCGGATTCCGTACCCACCACAGCACTGAAACTGCCCTCCTCAAAGTAACAAATGACCTTCTCCTCTCCTCAGACTCTGGCCAACTCTCCATCCTCATCCTCCTGGACCACACTGCTGCCTTTGATACCATTAACCACTCCATCTTACTCTGCCGCCTACAATCTCTCTTCAACATCACAGATGACACCCTCACCTGGCTCCAATCATACCTTAATGAAAGGAAGCAATTCGTCTTCATCAACAACTGCTCCTCCTCGACTGCCCCCCTGTCCCAAGGTGTCCCCCAGGGTTCGGTGCTTGGTCCTCTCCTCTTCATCCTCTACCTCCCCCTCGGTCAGATCATCCGTTGCCATGGCCTCTGTTTTGTGACGACCCCTCCACTCCACTAGTTGTCCCTGCCCGTTTCTGCTGTGTTTTCTCTCTTGCAGGAAGCAGGGCGGAGGGTGTTGCCACTTTGATCAGCTGATGGGCTCATCAGCCTGATGAGCCACACCTGTGTGGGCTCTTAAAAGCTCCCCTCCTGCCTGTCATCTCTCTCTTGCTGGTCTGGTCAGAGCAGCAGGCTGCTGCTGCTGTTTGTTTTGTTGTTCTCTCCATACATTTCCACACATCCACACATGCTTACACTACTGATTACTGACTTTCACGTTTACCTTAGTTTGATTATGTTTTGTAAATAAATACATTATTTTTGCACGGTAAAACATCCAGCTCTATATCTCTACCTCTCAGACCCACTCCACCCTCTCAAACTTCCTCTCTGATATCAGACACTGGATGCAAACAAATCTCCTCAAACTCAACTACGACAAGTCACACTTACTCATAATTGGTCCAAATTCCCTCACCCTCACAGCCAAAGACTTCCATCAACTTCACCCTCTGCCTGCCGCAACCTTGGAGTCATCTTTGACACCAATCTCTCCTTCAACCAACACATCAAGCAAGTCACGCTTTTATTATATCTTGTAATGACTACTGCAGCAGTATCCTCCATGGCACAACCTCCAATCTTGTAAATAAACTTCAGTATATCCAGAACTCTGCTGCCCGCCTCCTCACCCACACCCGCTCCCGTGACCACATAACCCCTGTCCTCCAGAACCTACACTTGCTCCCTGTTGCTTACCGTATCCAATTCAAAATCCTCCTACTCCCCCACAAAGCACTTCACAACTAGGCCCCCTCCTACCAGTATGAACAAGCCATTCCTAGTTTACAAAAATAATGCAAAAGGAAGATGTGTGAGAGTCAAAGGAACTGATTTGTGGAATACTTTTGAAAAGAAAATGAAAATGTGTAATATGCTTAAAGATTTAAAAAATATATTTTCAAATAATAATTAACAAAGTAAGTAAAGTAAGTAAAGTTTATTTATATAGCACCTTTCACAGATATAAAATCACAAAGTGCTTCACAATAAAAGCAAAAACACAGACAATAATACAATGAAAATACAATTTAAAAAAAAACAAAAAGAAAAGGTCACAAATAAAACAAACCCATAGGAAGCAATAAAAGGAGGTAAAAACATTTAATCAATCAGCCAAAGGCCTGTCTGAATAAAAATGTTTTAAGTTGTTTCATAAAAATAGTACAGGAATCTGTGGATCTCAGAGAGAAGGGGAGAGCGTTCCAGAGTTTGGGAGCAACAGCTTGAAAAGCACGGTCGCCTCAGGTTTTAAAATGGATCCTAGGGATGGTGAGTAAAATCTGGTCAGAGGACATAAGAGTCAGATTGGGCGAGTACGGGAGAAGGAGGTCGGCAAGTTACTGTGGTATCTGACCATGTAAAGCTCTAAAAGTTAAAACCAAAATTTTAAAATTAATGCAGAATTTGATCGGTAGCCAGTCCAGAGAGGATAAAATTGGTGCCATATGTGATCTCTTGTTACTACTGATTAAAAGCCGAGCAGCTGCATTTTGGACAATCTGGAGCCGGTTCAAAGTGGTTTGGTTTAAACAGGTAAAAAGAGCATTACAATAATCTAAATGAGAGTAAATAAAAGCATGAATAATCATCTCCATCTCAACTCTGGTCACCACAGATCTTAATTTAGCAATATTCCTCAAATGGGAAAAAACAAGAGCTAATAAGCTGACTGACATGACTGTCTAGGGACAAGGACTGGTCAAGAATGACACCTAGATTTCTGACGGTACACTGAGCATGAGCACTTAAAGGCCCCAAAGAATGCTTAATGACAGGAATGGAGTGTTCCGGGGCAATTATAAGTGATTCTGTCTTTTTAAAATTTAATTGGAGGTAGTTGTCAGACATCCAGCTTTTAATAGCATCCAAACAATCATTTAAAATAGACAATTGGCTGGACTCATCAGTTTTAAAAGAGCAGTATAGCTGAATATCATCAGCATAAAAATGATAAAAGATTCCGCTGTACTGGCTAATAATCTGTCCAAGAGGCAGCATATACAGGGAAAATAACATGGGACCCAGAACAGAACCCTGCGGGACACCGCATGACAACATTAATTGGCCAGCAGTGACTGAAAAACTCCTATCAGTGAGATATGAGGAAAACCAATCTAGAGCAGACCCAGAAATACCCACTAACTGGTTTAACCTGTTTAAAAGAATGCCATGGTCAACCGTATCAAAAGCAGAGCTAAGATCCAGTAGCACCAGTACAGAGCATTTCCCACCATCAGCTGCCATCATAATGTCATTAGTAATTTTAAGCAGGGCTGTTTCTGTAGAATGCATTTTACGGAAACCTGATTGACAGGAATCATACAAGCTGTGAGTTTCTAATGAAGCTGTGAGCTGCTCTGCAAAAACTTTTTCAAGCAGTGTGGACACAAAAGGCAGCTTGGAAATAGGCCTGTAATTAATCAGGAGGGTGGGATCTAAATTTGTTTTTTTCAGCAAAGGTTGAACTATGGCATGTTTAAAATGGCTCGGGACAGAGCCAGTTAAAAGAGAGAGATTAATAATATCTAAAATAGTGGAGCCAATTGAATTAAAAACACTTAAAAACAAAGATGAAGGAAGAATGTCGCAGGGGCCAGAAGAAGGCTTAATTTTGTGCACAAACTTAGT